GTGAGGTCTGTCAGTGCTTGGGGGCTGTTGGGGGGGGAGTCCTGGGGGTTCTGTTGGTGTTTGGGGGTGCTGAGGGGGGTCCTGGGGGTCTTTCAGAGCCTGTGGGGGTGAGGGGCTGCTGGGGCTGGTGCTGGGAGCTCCAGAATGGGATCTCCAGAGCACAGGGAGAGCTGGATCTTGGTTGGGATGTGGTTGGGAGAGCAGCCTGAAAGAGAGAAATCATGGAGTTTCCCAGGATTCAGCTCTGCTCCTCAGGAAGCAGGAGGAAGTGGGGAGTGAAGGTTTTTGGGTGCTGGGGAGCTGTCCCCTGCCTGTGCCACCCCACCAGTCCCACAGAGTGGTGCCAGCCCTGCTGAGCCCTAAGGGGTTCCAGGTCTTTCCCTGGAGTGGAGCTCCTGGCAGGAGACCTCAGGGCCAGTGGTCTGGAGTGCCAAGGATGCAGAAAGGCACCTTAAGCCCCCTTCTTGGGCTGCCCTACCTCTTCTCTGCTCAGTGGAAGGTAGCATTTACCTTCCCTGTGCTCTGGAATGGGCAGATCTTCCCCAGCCTGGCTCCTGGAGAAGCTCACAAATGTGGAGCAGGAGAATTGTGCTGGATTCCAGTAGGAAGGTCCAGCTCCTCCAGCTGGGAGGGACTGAAGGAGGCATCCAAAAGCAAAACTGGGTTTGATGGGAGACCAGGCTGGTGCCTAAAGGTTTCCACATGGACACAAAACGGGAAGGAGGAGGTGAAGAGTCACCTGGAATGGGCTGGACAGGAAGGGTGGGCTTGACATGTGACCCAATCTTTGCTTTAATATGAGAATAATGAGAGGAATGGAAGGGTGAAGCAATGGGCATTGCAACACCGCTGGTGGACGGAACCCCGGGGTTACTGGTCAAACTGGGGCACCCTCCAGCATGGCCAGAACCTGGGGACATCTCTGTCACCTCCAGGGGACACGGGAAGGTGTGGGTGGAAGAGCAGCACAGTGGGGACAGTGCTGCAGAGATGTTGGGCTGAGGGCAGGTCCTGCCTGGTGAGGGGCAGGAGGGCTGGGATGGGCCCAGGGGATGTGACCTTCCCACTAGTGGCCTGAGGGGACTGGGAGACCCCCAGAGACCCCTCAGGGGTTGTTATGCGGAGGCACGAGGGGCTCTCGCTGCTCCCAGCTCCTGAGCCAGGGTCAGCTCTGGGCAGCAGCACAGGGATGTCCCTCCTTTCCCCATCCCTGGAGGTGTCTCAGGCCAGGCTGGATGGAGCTTGGAGCCACCTAGGATAGTGGGAGTTGTCCCTGCCCATGGCAGGGGGTGGCACTGAATGATGGCTTTGAGGTCCTTCCCACCCAAACCATCCTGGAATTCTGTGATTCCCTGATTTGGGCCATGGACCAGCAGGGCTGAGAGATGCTGCTGGGGGCTGACACGGGCCCGGCGTCCCTGCTGTGACAAGGACCTGGTTCCAGGAGTTTCCAGGGGACTGTGTTTCCTGTGTGCCCATTGCAAGGCACTAGAGCAGGAGGAGAGGTTAATTACAGCCTGTGCTAATTGCATCCATGAAAACACCTCATGCAACACAACCCCTGGCTGCCAAGTGGGCCAAGGGCTGGCACCTCCTGCAGCCCGGGCTGGAAGCAGCGGGTGGCAGAGCTCAGCCCCCCAGGCTCTGTGGGGACCTTGGGGACAGATGCTGGGCCTTGGGAGGGGAAGGGCAGAGGGGCTCCTGCTGCACAAATTGAGCAGGGCTGGGGAGCACTGGTGCCACATTCCTGCTGTCATTCCAGGTGGGAGATGTCTTCCAATAATCTGATGCTCTGCAAGATGAGGTTTGGGTGCTAGCAGGTGACTGTGACCAGCCTGGCTGGGATGTTGGCCATGGACCAGGAGCAGCTCCTGCTGCCCCCACCAGCTGAGAGTCCCTTTCCCAGGGCTGGCATCCCCATAGCCAGCAGAGATTCCCAGGACAGGGACACTTTTGCGCGCAGCAGATCGGATCTTACCAGTCTGGAGTCACTGCAGTGGCTCTTAACAGCCCAGGAGGGCCCTGTCAGCGCTGACACCTCGGGTGACTCAGGGTCCTGCCGTGACTCATGGCCACTCTCCACCCTTGGAGGGGTGTCCTGCTTCCACCTGAGCCGCTCCATCCCCAGGGATGAGATCCACACCGAGCCTTTCCCTGGGCCAGCCCCAGCCGCCCACGCAGGATCCTCCTGATTCACCTGCCACGCTCCTGGCAGCCCCAGCCACTCGCTCGGATCCCATCCCAGCCGTGGGCTGAGCTTGGGGCGGCCCCATGGACGTGCTGCTGCTCCACGGGCTGCTGCTCCTGCCCCTGGCAGCGCTGCTGCTCTACAGGTGCAGCCCCCATTTCCAGTACCTCTGCAAGGTGGCCTTTTTCAACTGCTGGATCGTGGCCATGGCCACCCTGCTGTCCCCCTTTGCCGCCTTCCGGGGACGCTCCGTGGACAACATGAAGTGAGTGTGGGCTGGGGATGGGGACAGCTGGCTGGGGCTTGGCTCAGGTGGAGGAAATCCCGTGGTTTGTGGGCTCTGTCCTGCCCTGGATGGGCCCACAGCTGGGTCACAGCTGGTGGCAGAGCCCTGGGGCCATGGTGAGAGCTGTGGTCACATCCATGGGGCAGGGAAGTGCATCTTGTGCTGCGAGAGGTGCTGACTTGTGCCGAGGGAGGGTCAGGCCACGCTGGAGCTGGGATTCCCTGAGGGATGAGATAACATGAAAGGGATCGTTCCTGGTCATGGCAATGCTGGGGTCTTCACTTGGGTGGTGACAGGGGGGTTTGGGGGTACCATCAGGGCAGGGGTAAATGCACACCCAGTGCTGTGTCCCTGGCTCTGGTTTTGCTCATGGGAGACCCTGGAACAGCACTTTCAACACCTCTGTGGCAGCAGGATTGAGGGTGGAGAGGCTGGCACAGATTATTCCATGACTGCCCCTGGATCCCTGGCAGTGCCCAAGGCCAGGCTGGACATTGGGGCTGGAGCAGCCTGGGACAGTGGAAGGTGTCCCTGCCATGGCAGGGCTGGCACCGGGTGGGTTTAAGATCTCCTCCAACCCAAACTGCTCCATGTTTTTATGGCTTTGGGATGTCGTGGTGCCATCAGCTGTCAGGGGCACAGCCCTGCCCCATCACAGCCATGTCCTGATCACAGCCATGTCCCGACTCACGCTCCCAAGGGTGGAAGCAGGGAGATGTCATCACTGAAATGACATTGCTGTGCAACACCGGAGGAAGGTCAGGGTGTTGCAATCCCGTTGCTGGATTCCTGGGCAGGATGAACACACCAGGAAGGATGTAATTATGTCACAGGGAAAATATCCCATCTTGAGAAATTTACTGAGGATTTCTGCCGATGGATCCCAGCCCGTGGCAGGAGCATGGTCGGAGGTTCGCTGTTATCAGTGGTGGTGCAGCGTCTCCCAGGTCCTTCCCGGCTGGAATGCTGGGCACGCACAGCATCCAGAGCTGCTCCAAAGCCAACGCTTCCGGCGAAGTGGAAATCCCCGAGGGAGGCAGAGTGACTCACCTGCCTTATCTTGTCCCACCGACACCTCAGTACCCAGCACAGCACGCCCAGCTCCCTCTCCTCCCAATCCCAAAGCCTGCGGCTTGGAGCACTTCCCTGTCATTAGTCCTGGCTTTGGGGCACTGCTTCTCCTCAGATCCTCAGAGATCTCTGAGCCTGCAGCTCCCGAGGGATGGGGACGATGCCAGGACCCTGCCCCTCCTTCTCCCTCCTCACCTCTGCCTGGTGCTGAGCCCTTCCTGGCCCCCTGCCCCATCCCCTTGGGGAAGTGACAGGCACAGACCCTCTGTGGGTTGGACATTGCCCCATTCCAACACTGATGTGTCCCAGGATTTTATCTTCGTGGCTGCTGGAATCCCTGGTGCTCCCTCCTCCCTCCATTCCTCCCATTATTCTCATACTGAGCATCACCCATCGCTGCCATCCTGATATTCCCCTTCCTGTCCAGTCCTCCGGGGATGTGGCACCACTTTTCTGCTCAGATCCATCTCTTCCCAATGCTGCAGGTCCGGTGGAGTGATTTATGATTCCCCTAAGGAATGAATTCAGGCTGGTTTTCCCTTCCTCCTGCAGCCCAGAGCTGTGCAGGGGCAGTCCCCGGGGTCACATCCCTGGGGATCTGCCTGTCCCTCTGCCATCCATGCCCTGTGCTCATCCATCCCCAGCTCAGCTCCTCTCGGCTGGCTCTGGCTTTAGGAATCTGGGATCTGGTTTTCCGTCCACACACAGATCCAGCAGAGCATCTGGGAGGCTCCCCTGGGCAGAGACAGTTTGTCCTCATTGGGATATTAAATCCCCATCCCCATCCCTCCCTTCTCTTTTTGCTTTCCCATCATCCCTGGGTATCAAAATCCTGTTTTTTTGCTCCCACCACCTCATGCTGGTCACTCTCCCTCCCCAGCAGCTCCTTCTGCTCTGAGCCAGGAGCTGGGCACAGCTCGGGCGGGAACCGGGTGAGATCTGAGCCTCACAGGCTGCAAATGTGTGAGGAACACAAGCACCCCTGAGCCCGAGCCCTGGTCCAGCAGAGCAGCCGCAGCCTGGCCCATCCCGCCTGCCCCGGGCTGTGCAGACCCGCTCCCACCCGTGTCCCTCAGCCTTACCTCGTCCCTTGTCTCCGCAGGCTCCTGCGCGCCGCGCTCCTGCCCCTCAAGCGCTTCTACGGCATCAGGATGCGGGTGAGGGGCGCGGAGCAGCTGCAGCTGCAGGGGCCCTTCGTGATCGTCTGCAACCACCAGGCTTCCCTGGACCTCATGGGTGCGTCAGGGCAGGGCAGGGGGTATCTCGGCACCTCGGGGGGCTCCAGGGGTGCACCAGGATTAGGGCAGGGATGTGTGGTGGGAATGGACCAGGAGAGCTTTTGGGATAGGGCTGTGCTGCAGGGAGAGGAGGGACAAGGGAAGGTGATGCTACAGGGTGGTCCTGGGACTGGGAACAGCTTAAAGTCCTTTAAGTTTAAAAAACCCAACCTCGTCCTATATTAGGGAATAAATGATTAATTCATCTGTGCTCTTGATATCATTTGGCCTTTCCGGAGAGCTCCTCTCTGCACTCATCACCTCTCAGGGCTGGTTGAGCTGCAAAAGCTATTCCTGATATCCAGTTGGTTTATCCAGCTGTGGAGTTCAACTTCCAAGCAGTTTTCCAAGGTGTTTTTTCTGCCGCCAATCCCATGGGGCTGGGCAGGTGTTAATGGACGTTATCCGTGCCCCAGGAATGGTGGAGGTGATTCCCGAGCGCTGTGTGCCCATTGCCAAGCGGGAGCTGCTGTACCTGGGCACGGTGGGCTGGGCCTGTTGGCTCAGTGGCATCATCTTCATCGACCGCCACCGCAGGGACACGGCCATCGAGGTCATCTCCCACACTGCCAGCACCATGCGGCATGAGAACGTGAGAGAAACTGGGTCTGGGCGGGAAACACCCGTGGGGTGAGGGGGTGTGGGCAGGACTGACCTGGCTGAGGCCCGGGGTTACCTCTGTCCCTGTCCCTTCCAGCTCCGTGTGTGGGTTTTCCCCGAAGGCACCAGGAACCCTGGCAAATCCATGCTGCCCTTCAAGCGTGGGGCTTTCCACCTGGCCGTGCAGGCGCAGGTAAGGGCACCCTCGTGGTAAATCAAAGGGGACTCAGTGGCCTTGGAGGCCTTTTTCAAAATGATTCCTTCCCCTTTAGTTCACCCTGGATGGAGCAGGGTGGGTGTGAACCCTGGGGCAGAGGGATGGGGGGTTTGATCCCCAGGGATGGGGATTTGGCCCCAGGGATGCAGGGATTTGATCCCCAGGGATGGGGGTTTGGCCCCAGGGATGCAGGGATTTGATCCCCAGGGATGGGGGTTTGGCCCCAGGGATGGACATGGTGCAGGGCAGCACCAGGCAGGAGCAGTGGTCCCACCTGGGGACAGCTCTGTCTGCGAGTGTCTGACCCGCCGTGTCCTGCAGGTTCCCATTGTTCCCATTGTGATCTCCCCATACTGGGACTTCTTCAGCTCCAAGGAGAAGAGATTCACCTCTGGTAAGGCTCGGACAGGAATTCCCGTGGCAGAGGGCAGGGCTGGCGCTGGGGATGAGGCACTTGGGGGGTGTCTGTGGGACACTGAGGGGTGGGGAGGCAGCTGGGGTGGAGGATGCTCGGGGGAATACCTGGTTCCTGGTGGGATCCTCTAACACATCCCTGGTTTCTCCCTCCTCTCCCAGGGACCTGCACCATCCGAGTCCTTCCCAGGGTGGAAACGCGGGGCCTGAGCCCAAAGGATGTCCCCGAACTGACCGAGAGTGTCCGCCAGGCCATGGCTGAGGCCCTGGCCGAGATGTCCATGAGTGACCACGAAGACCAGGCCACGGAGCAGTCTCTGCTGGGGCTGGGGGACAACAGAGGCAGGCCCCAGGGCCAGGGGGACACAGCCAGGAATGGCAAATAGGCAGAGGGAGTGAGTCCCTCGGGCACAGCAGGGAGGTGTCCCTTGTCCCCTGAGGAGGTGTCCTGCAGCCCTGCCACCGCCCCAGCAGGACGGTGCCCTAAGGGGAGCAGAGCAGGGCAGGATGGGACCAGGCAGCACCCCCAAAACAGAGCAAGGTGCCCCTGAAACCCCTCGTTGTGACTGTGCATCCCCTCGATGTCTCTGCTGGACGTGGAGCTGTGGCTGTCCCCAGGATGGCTCCTGCCTGCTTGCTGGGCAGGGCAGAGATACTCCAGGCAGGGCTGAGGGTTCCCAGCCCCATTTCCCACCCCTGATTGTTGGGTTCCCCCATGGATTCTCCTTCCAAAGGCTCCCATAAGCTGGAAATGCTGCTTGGGTGCAGTCAGCTCTGGGGAGGGGCCCGGAGTGTGTGGCCTGGGGGACACACGAGGTCCAGGGGAGGTTGCCTGGAGGGGCAGAGCATCCTTGGAGCTGAGCTGTGAGCCAAGGGTGGGACATTAAAGAGTCTGGAGCTGGTGCTGTGTCCTGGCTGTGCTGAGGGGAGCGGGATCCATCTCCTCAGGGAGACTTCACCCCTGCACATGGGGTGTCCCCACAGCTTCTTCAGGGGTGGTTACACTTCAGGGTGAGGGTACACTGCTCTGGGTCTGTCCCTGAGGTAGAGCTCTCCCTCCATCAGTAAATACACAAGAAGAGCATCCACTGTAGCCTCAAATTCCCAGCAACACCTGGATTGTGCCCACCTGGACACAATCCCATCTGGAGGTGCCTTTCCACGGCCTCTGGACCACGATCCAACAAGCTGGATGGTTCCCTGCAGCTGGGCAGGGATTTGGGATCTCCTGGCTCCTTCCCATCTGAGCAGCTCCTGAGCCAGCACCCCAGGGTGGCAGCAGGACAGGGACAGGGCAGCGTGTGGCTGCTCCCTTGTGGAGAGCAGGATGGGCAAGATTTCCCCTCCCATCCTGGGATAAAAGGTGCAAACCACAGGTACAGAGCTCCAGTTTGGCATCTTTCCTGCTCTCAGGAGCAGCTGGATTATGGAGGAAATCCTTCAAATCTCTTGCAATCATCTGACACCAAACAGCAAAGAGGCTTCCCATGAGGAACAACCCACGGGATCAGGACATGTCACATGGCCAAGGGCACAGGAAGGGTCCAGAAAACCCCCTTAAATCCTTTCCTGCTTCCCAGGATTCCCAACATGTGGCATGGTCTGTCAGCTCTGAGCTGGAGTGGGGTCCCACCACAGCCCCACCACCTTGGGGGTGGTTTGGCTGCCCAAAGTTTGGGTTTGGGGTGTTAAGCATCAATAGAATCATGGAATGGTTTGGGTGGGAAGGACCTTAAAGCTCATCCAGTTCTGCCATGGGCAGGGACAGCTTCCACTGTCCCAGGCTGTTCCAAGCCCTGGCCAACCCAGCCTTGGATTCTTCCAGGGATCCAGGGATAGCCACAGCTGGTCTGGGCAAAACCTTGTCCTGACTGGAGGGTCAGGACCCAGCCAGAGCCCTCTCTGGATTTTCCACTGTTGGTGGGAGGTGAAAGCTTGAGGAGAAGAAAAGAACAGGGGCTCTTGGAACAATTTGCCTTTTCTGGTCCTCCAAGGCCTGCCCTGCCTGGCTTTGGCTGCCCAGCCTGGCACAGCTGCTCAGGGCAGCACTGGGTCCCCATCCCAGGAGGGGTTTCACAGCTGTGTGGATGTGGCACTTGGGCACGGGGGTCAGTGCTGGCCTTGGCAGCACTGGGGGAGCTGTGAGCTCCTTGTGCCACCCAGCCACGCTGGGATGGCTGGCAGGGCACTGACCCTCCCGCCCACATCCTGGCAGGACAGGATGGACTCGGGCCTGTGCTCCTGCCTTGTGTCCTTGGGGTGGCAGGTCCAGCCCCCTCCAGCTACCCACAGCCTGTGGAGCTGCTCCAAAGGGCAGGGAGGTGGGCCGTGTCCAGCAAAACCTGAGCTGGGCAGGTATGGGGACAGAGCTGTGGTCAGCTGAGATCCCATGGGAAAGATCAACCCCCTCCATGGCTTCCCATGAGGCCCTGGCACAGGTGCCCAGAGCAGCTGGGGCTGCCCCTGGATCCCTGGAAGTGTCCCAGGCCAGGCTGGATGGGGCTTGGAGCAGCCTGGGACAGTGGGAGGTGTCCCTGTCCATGGCAGGGGTGGAAGTGCTTTAAGGTCCCTTCCAACCCAAACCATTCCGTGATTCCATGGTGGCCATGCCCTCAAAAGGAAGGGAACTGCAAACTCCAGAGCAGGGGATTGCTCAGGACACTATGGGGCTGCTGTGGAGCTCCTCAACTCACCCAGATTCCCAGCAGGACAGAGGGAAGCAGCTCGGCCCTGCTCAGAGGGGTGTCCAGTTCCCATGTGTGGAATAGCAGCAGACGAAGCGATGGCACATCCCAACACTGTTCTGTTCCTGTGTCCAGATCGGATGAACCTGGAGGAATCTGGGAAACAAGCCAGCCTGGGCCATGTGATCAGCCCAAATCTGGTTAAATTTCAAATAGCTGTAAATTTTCCTTTTCTGAGAAATCACCCCCAGCTCCCAACCACTCCTCATCCTACTTTCATTTACCATGTGTTCCCACTGCCTCCTGACACCATTTCCCGGCAAACCTGTGCAGAGGTGGCTTCAGCCCCAGACTGGAACTCCAGAGACCTTTCCCAATACTGCAAACAGCCCTGGGATCCTTGACCCCTGGAAGCTGTGGGCAGAAGACAAACATTGCCTGGATTTATCTGCAGGTGCCCAGGGTTCCTCCGCCAGCCCCGGTTTCCTCACTGGATGGGACACAGAGATCCCATTTCAGAGCCTGCAGCAGATCAGACACAGATCCAGAGCGATCCAAGACCCACAGGAGGAGGCTGTGGCTGTTCCAAACATCCACATCCAGCTGGAGACATGATGTCTCCAGCCCTTCCCATCCTCTTCACCATCCTGCTTCTCTCAGCTGGGGCCTCTGCAGCACCGTAAGTCCCCTCTGTGTCCATCTGTTCCTGCTGGGGCGGCTTTAACCTTGGCTCCCTTGCAATTCCTGGCGGGATTCAATTCCTCCTGTGCCTGCTGGCATGGTTTAGGCTCAGCCTCTTGGCAGTTCCTGGTGGGACTCAATCCCTCCCATGCCCTGCTTGCTGCCCAGGGTGGGCACACTCAGGCTGGGGGCTCTCCCTGCCCAGGGGCACCAAGGACAGAGGGCACTGGTGCCTCTGGTGCCTCTGAGGAGCTGTTGTGCCCTCACCTGCAGCGCTGAGCTGAGGAGCCAAGGGCAGCCCAGAAGCAGGGAGGAGAGGCTGGGGGGGTTCCTGTGCTCTCAGGGGCTTTTCCAGGTCTCCATGGGTCCGTGCTGGCTGTGCCTCACCCCCAGGGCTCTCCTTGTCCCTGCCAGGAGTTATGTGCTGGTGTCCCCGGCCGTGCTGTACCACCCTCACCCTGCCACGCTCTGGCTGCACCTCGGTGACCTCCAGGGGCCCGTCCAGGTCCATGTCCAGCTGCAGAGGGACAGCGGGACCCTGGCCACCACCCTGCTGAGGAGAGAGGTCCTGGAGCCCCATCTGCACCTGAACGTCACCTTCCCTGTGAGCATCACCCCAATGTCACCCCAAACCAGCTGGGAGCAGGGAGGGGGGCCCTGGGTGGTCTCCAGGCCGTGTCCATCAGCCCCACACAGGACTGGAACTTCCCCATCTTGTGGCAGTCTCATCCCTCTCGCTGACAGCTGAAGTCAGCCGCTTATCCCGTGGCTGGAGTGATCCTGTTTGCAGACCTGCAGGGTGCTGGGAGGACGTTTCTTCCCAGCCCTTGGCTCGGGGAAGGTGTTCCTGGGGGTGAGGAGTGCTCTGGGTCACCAGGAGGGAGCCTGGGCACTGTCCTTGCCCTCACCCCGAGCCTGCTGTTCCCCCTGCAGGCTCCTGCCCCTGCCAGAGGGACAGAGGAAATCGTGGCCCTGCACGTCTCAATCCAAGGGGAGTCCCTGAATGTCTCCGAGTCGAAGAAGGTGATGCTGAGAGCTCTGAGCCCCGGGATCTTCATCCAGACGGACAAGGCTGTCTACAAGCCTGGGCAGGAAGGTGAGGGGGGCAGGAGGGAACACTCTGCCCTGGTGGGGAGAGGAGTGAGGAGGCCCAGCCTTGCTCCTGCACTGCCTGGAAGTGGGAGGGATTATCCTGGGATGTCCTGGAATGTCAGCACGGGCGAAGGGCAATGACAGGACTCACTCAGGAGGTGCTGCTTGAGGGGCAGTGCAGGGCTCAGGGTGGATTTCCATCCACCTTCCACGGGGAATTCTGCTCCCTTCGGATGAAGCCACTCCTCCGTTTCCTTTCCCAGTGAAGTTCCGAGTTGTCTCTTTGGATAAAGACCTGACCCCCAGCAACCAGAAGGTGAGAGCAGGGCTGGGGCATGGGGAGGTGACCCGGGCTCCTTGCAGTGTCCCAGCCAGCCGTGGGAGAGGTGTGGGAGTCACCTTTCCCCATGGGAATGCTGCCCTGGCCGGCCCTGCCCGGGGAGCTGCCCCCGGGGGCAGGGATGCTCTGTGCTGCTCAGGGATGCAGCAGGAGCAGGACACAGAAAGCAAGAGGGCACGTGTGACACGGGAACGTGCCCACACCAGCTCCCAGTGAGGGATGCAGCCTTGGTGAGTGGGAAGTGGGGAATGTGCTAACATCCATCAAGGCATCAGACACCAGGAATTCCGGCAGGCTCAGCCTCTGGCACCCCTGAGCAATCACTGGGGTCCCTGGAAGTGCAGGATGTTCCCAGATTAAAGGGGTTCTGGACCCTTCCTAAGGCACTGGGAGGTGCCAGCTCTCTGTGCCATGCTGGCAGTGCCCTCTGCTCATCCCTGCCAGAGCCAGGCTCAAAATCCATCCCAAAGCATCCTGAGGGCTGGGAAGTTCACAGCATCCCACAGAAAACCCTCCCTCTACCCCATCCGTGGCTGTGCCCACCCTGGTGAGACCCCAAGGAATGGAATTGCTCTTCTGACCATCCTCTCTTTGCCTTCCAGCTGCCCCTGGTGTTTCTGAAGGTCAGTTTGGCACAGCCAGGGGCTGGGGTGGGCCCAGAGGGCCGGGAGAGGGGACACAGGACACAGCCAGGGGCGCTGATCCCGTGTGTCCTGAGCAGGATCCCAGCGGGAATCGCATCGCGCAGTGGCGGGAGGTGACCCCTCGGCAGGGAATCGTGGATTTGTCCCTCCCGCTGGCCTCGGAGCCGGCCCTGGGCACCTACACCATCAGCGTGGAGGGGAAAAGCAACTCCTTTAGCGTGGAGGAATATGGTACACAGGGACTGGGAAGTGATATCCCATGGACAGCAGGTCCTGACCCCCTCCAGCCACCCAGGAGGTGTTGTCACTGTCCTGGGAGTGACCACCCTCTGTCCTTGTGCCTGTCCACCAGTGCTGCCCAAGTTTGAGGTGACCATTCATGTCCCCACGCTGTGGGAGAAGGACGAGAAGTTCCCAGTGGAGATTTGTGGGCGGTGAGCTGGGAGCAGGGAACAGGGGGGGATGGGGGGATGCAGCAGGGCCCCCCCAGCACAGTCTCTCCACTGTCCCCACACAGCTACACCTACGGGAAGCCTGTCCAGGGGAAGGTCCAGGCTGGCTTGTGCCTCAGACAGAGGCTCCGGTATCACCGGAGGAGGAAGAGCTGCACCCAGGTTACTGGGCAGGTGAGTGTGGCTGGGACCAGGGGTGTCACTGGGACATTCCCTTCTTGGGAACGCTGCTGACCGGCTTGATCTTCCCTCCAGACGGAAAAGAACGGCTGCTTCTCCACAGAGGTTCCATTGGCTGCCTTCAAAGAGACCATCCCGGGGTTGAGGAAGGAACTTGAAGTTGAGGCGTTGCTGGTGGAGGATGGGACAGGTGGGGATGGTGGTGTGGCCATCCCTGCGTGCTCCCAAGGGATTGGTCTTCTCCAGGACACCCAAAAGCACTGCTGGGATTTAGGGGTGCACATGCAGGGATGGGGTTTGGGTGGGGGTGTGAGTCAGGTCAGCCTGGCAAGACTTGGAATTCCAAGCAGAAGGAAAACACCTTTCCAAGATCCAGCAGCTCTGCCAGCACTGGGAGCTGAGTCCTGGCAGTGCAGAGTGCTTGGGTTCCCCCAGGCTGGTGGGACTCATCCCTTGCTTGCCACCTTGAGTGCCTGGCCTGGCTGGAGAGAAAGGAGAGCTGGGCTTGTCCCTGTGCCCAGCAGCCCCAGGGGGCCTCTCATGCTGGTGAGGAGCCTTTTCTGAAGTGTCAGCCCCCAGCTGCACCTCGTCTTTAGGTCTGAAATATTCCACAGGATTCTGCTGCTCTTGTAGGAGATGCTAGCTGTGCTGGGAGCTGCAGGAGGAAAGCCCAAATGTCCAGAGACCTTTTCTCTGTGGGGACAGGGGCACTGGCCGAGCTAAGCTGTGTCCCTGCAACACCCTGAGCTCCCCACTCGCTCTCCACAGGGCTGGAGATGAAGAACACCAAGAGCTGTGAGGTTTTACCCGAAGCAGTCACGGTCACCTTTGAGAACCCTGATCACGTCTACAAGCCTGGGCTCCCCTACACAGGGAAGGTAAGGGAAGCTCCCCCCTCCGTGCAGGGCTCACCTGCCCCCTGCTGCTCCCAGCCCTGGCTGAGCCTCAAAGTGCGCTACCTCCCCTTCCCTCCTGGCACAGATCCGGCTGCAGGGAGCCGATGGCTCTGGGCTGCCCCAGAGGCAGATCCTGCTCTCGGTCAGGAACCAGGGAAAAGAAAAGACACAAAGCTTCCTGACAGACGGCTCAGGGAGAGCCTCCTTCCAGCTGGACACCTCTGGCTGGAGCGACCATGTCTCCTTGAGGGTAAGGGCCCCACCCGTGCCAGGGTCCCAGAGCTGCTTCTCCAGTGGGGCCCGGAGCTGCGCCAACCTCGGGGGCTGCTGGTGGATTCACCCCCTGATTCCCACCTCAGGCTCAACTCAACCAAACAGCCGAGAGCTGGGGGAAGGACTCAAGAGCTCCCAACAAAGTTGCCTCTCTGACAGTCATGCCCTACTCCTCGAAGAGCAGGAGCTTCCTGCACATCCGAGACCCCGAGGGGGAGCTCCCCTGCGGCCATTCCCAGCTGATCCACGTGGATTCCATCTTTGGAAAGGAGGCTTTAGGCAGTGAGCTGAAGAACCTGGATCTGGTTTTCATGGTTAGCCCCGGCCCAGGGAGGGAGGGCAGCAGGAATCAGGGTGGTTTTGTGGGAAGGGCCACATCTCCCCATGGCGGTGTCCCCAGGGACAGGACAATGAGCAACCTGTCCTGGAGAGACCGAGGGACCTGTCAGAGGGACCTGCTGCTGCTGTTTGGCCTGTGCCCCCATGGGAGATGTTGGGAGGCTGGAGACTGGGCATGGCCAAAAATCATCCCAGAACTCACACTGTGGGTCTGTCCTCCATCAGGGCACTTTGATTCCACACTCAGCATCCATTTTATTCTCACCCCCTCCCCTGCAGGTCCTGGCCAAGGGGACCATTACCAGCATCTTCAGGAAAGAGGTCGCTGCAGAGCCTGGTAGGTCCCATGGCACAGAGGGAATGTGCAGGGCTCTGCTCCCTGGGCCTGCTCCTCACAGGACCATGGAATGCTTTGGGTTAGAAGGGGCTTCCAATCCCATCCCATTCCACCCCCCTGCCCTGCCTAGGGGCACCTTGCAGTCTCCCAGGATGCTCCAAGCTCTGTCCAACCTGGCCTTGGACACTTCCAGGGCTGGAGCAGCCACAGCTTCTCTGGGTAACATCTCCCCCCTTTCCATGGCCCAGGACAGAGGGTCTCCCTCTCCCTGGAGCTGCCCATCGGGCTGGAGCTGGCGCCCATGGCCAAGCTTCTGGTCTACGTGGTGCTGCCCAACGGTGAGATGGTGGCTGACTCCACTGAGCTCTACGTGGCCAAGTGCTTCCCCAACCAGGTGAGAGGAGTTGGGTTGTCTATGGGTGCCTGCCTTGGGATCCATCCTGCTCCAGGTGCATCGCAGTGTCTCAGTCTCTCAACCCATTCCCTGATCCCCAGACCCTGTGAGGAGAGCCCTCCCTACCTGTGGCTCGGTCCTGCCCCTCCACAGGAGGTGACTGCCCTCTGCCCCTGTCCCCTGATGTCCCTGTGCAGGTGAAGATGGCGTTTTCAGAGGCCAGGGCCCTGCCTGGGGCAGCGCTGAGGCTGCAGCTGGGGGCTGCCCCGGGCTCCCTGTGCGCTGTCCGAGCTGTGGATCGCAGTGTGCTGCTCCTGAAGCCCGAGGCTGAGCTCAACGCTGAGGCTGTGAGTGCTGGCCCTGCCTGGGGTCCCCCTGCAGCCCCAGGAGCAGCCTGGGCTGGGGTGACACTGGCTTAAGTGTCCCTCACATGAACCCAGTGCTGTGGTGGCTCCCAGGCAGAGCCCTGTGCTCCAAAAATTAGGTTTCTGCACTTCTTTATTCCCAGGTCTACAAAGCACTGCCTGAGTTCAACTACCCCCACAGCATCCAGGATGAACCATCCTGTGACTTTTACTGGTGGGACTCCAAGATGGAAACCTACAAGTTATTCCAGGTGAATACACACCTGCACCTCCCAGTTCCTCCCCATCCAGGAGCCGCCCGTGCTCCTCCCAGGCGCTGGGAAAGCCACACCCGTGGACTTTCCTGCCAAACCCAGGCTTCTTCTCCACTTGTTTTTTGTAGCCCTGGGACTGCTCACAGCTGGAATGGGGATATTCCTCCTGCTGGCTGTGGGAGGTGGACAACCTCTGCTTTTTCACAGGGTGCAGCACTGAAGCTCTTCACCAATGCCAAGACCAGGGAGGATTGCCCACCCAGGCTCCCCATCGTTGGAATGGCAGGTCCTGGAGGTGAGCACAGCCCTTGTGCTGGAAAGAGCAAAGAGCTGGTGGCCAGTGCTGGCTGCCGTGTCCTCAGGGGGCTTGGAGCCATCCAGGAAATGCCCTCAGTATCAAAGAGGATGGAAAAGGATTTTGGTCACCCTTGTGCTGCCTGCAGGTGAGGTCCAGCTGAGACCTGAGACCCCAAGTTCTGCTCTGCCTTTTCCAGGAGTGGCAGTAGCACCCCGTTTTGCGTTGGAAGACGTGGTACTGGTCAGCTCAGGCAGTCCAAACGTTGAGGATGGGGAAAAGGCCGCAGCACCCCGAACATATTTCCCAGAGACGTGGCTGTGGGACCTGGTCCCTGTGGGGTGAGAGAGGACGGTTCCTAAGGGAAGGGAGCTGGGGACCACAGGACTCCTCCTCCCTGTGGAATGGCAGCAGCAGTGTCACAGCGGTGACACTCAGCCAGTGCCACCAGCCGTGGTGGGGTGGCCTCATGATGTTCTCCACGCCGCAGGGAGGGTGGCTCTGCTGAGGTGACGGTGACAGTGCCTGATGCCATCACAGAGTGGGAGGCTGGGATGTTCTGCATGGCCCCGCAGGGCCTGGGGCTGTCCCCTGCTGTCACCCTCACGGCCTTCCAGCCGTTCTTTGTGGAGCTGGCGCTGCCCTACGCCGTGGTGCGCCACGAGACCTTCACCCTCAGGGCCACCGTCTTCAACTACCTGCGCCAGTGCCTGAGGGTGAGCGGGGATGGGCAGGGGGCCCTGGGGTGTGGCAGGGGCTGATGGAGCTGTGGCCATACTCTGGCAGGTTCAGGTGAGGCCCAGGCAGGTGAGGCCGGCTCTGGGGTCTGACGGAGCCATGGCCATGCCCTGCAGGTTCAGGTGATGCTGGCAGAGTCGGCGGAGCTGGAGGTGTCACCAGGTGCAGGGGACACCTACAGGGGCTGTGTCTGTGCAGACGAAGCCAGGACCTTCCAGTGGGGCGTGAGAGCCACCAGCCTGGGTACAGAGCTGCCACCACCCACCCTGCTGCCCAGAGACCCCCTCAGGGGGTGGGGTAGGGTGGGCAGGGAAGGCAGGAACCCCACGGCACCCGGGGAGTTCTCCCTCGCTCCACTCCCACCCTTCCCGGGTACCCCCAGCCCAATCCAGCCAGCCCCACCCCAAGCCCAGGGGGCTGTGCTCAGGTTTGGGGGTTCCCTGGGGACTGAGGGCCATATTTGCACCTGCAGGGGAGGTGAACATCACCGTGAGCACTGAGGCCCTCAGCTCCACAGAGCCCTGTGGCAACGAGCTGCCCCTGGTGCCGGCCCAGGGCCGCGTGGACACCGTGATAAAGCCCCTGCTGGTGCAGGTCAGAGGGTTGTGAAGGAGGAAAATGGGATGGATTTGGGAGCAGGGTGCAAACAGCCCCTGGGGGGCAGTGGGAGAGCACCCAGACATGAAGCCAGGGGTGACCCAGGGGACAGGGGGACAGGCACGTCCCTCCTCCTGACTGACTCTGCTGCTGCTTCCTCACAGCCCGGGGGGATCCTGGTGGAGAAGGCTCACAGCTCCCTGCTCTGCCAGGAAGGTAGGACTGGCCAGGGGGACAGGCACTGCTGTGGCATGTGGGCCAGGGCTGCTTGGCCATTGGTCACAAGGGCCACCAGCCCAGAGGAGCCAAGGGCCAGGGTGCCTGAGCAGGAACAGAGTGGGTGAGGCTGTCACAGGACCCACTGGGAAGAGCTGGGCATTCCCACTGTCATGGCCCTCTGTCCCCACAGGTGCTGAAGAAGTCTCCTTAGAGATTCCTGCAAACATCCTGGAGAGCTCCCAGAGAGCCCACATCACCGTGATGGGTAAGGGCTGAGGACCACGAGGGACAGCCTGGGTGCAGAGGTCCCCAGGCTCAGCAGGACGTGGGACCACCTGGAGCTGACACGGGACACGGGTGCTGGTGGCAGGGGCACAGCTGATGATGTGTCCCCCTGGGACAGGTGACATCCTGGGCAATGCCCTGCAGAACCTGGACAGTCTCCTGGCCATGCCCTACGGCTGTGGGGAGCAGAACATGGTTCGCTTTGCCCCCAACATCTACATCCAGCAGTACCTGGAGAAGACCGGGCAGCTGCTGCCAGACATCCGTGCCAAGGCACAGGGGTTCCTGCAGAGCGGTCAGTGGGACCCTGACACCCCAGCTGGGAGGGACATCACTGTCCCCCAGCCCCCTCCCCACTCACCTGGCTCCCCTGGGGTGCCCTGGGCACAGACACAGCGCTCTGTCCCCATGTCCCCCCACAGGGTACCAGCGGGAGCTGCTGTACAAACACGATGACGGCTCCTACAGCGCCTTTGGGAAGAGCGATGACAAGGGCAATACCTGGTGAGGGCTCTGCAGCTGCATCCAGGGCTCCTCCTGCCACCAGGGAGCCCCAGTGCTGACCCTCAGCCCTCCCATGTGTCCCTGGCTCCAGGCTGACGGCGTTTGTCCTCAAGTCCTTCGGGCATGCCCGGGCCTACGTGGCCATCGAGGAGCGGCACATCACGGATGCGCTGCGGTGGCTGCAGCAGCACCAGAGGAAGAGCGGCTGCTTCCGCAGCGTGGGCAGACTCTTCAACAACGCCCTGCAGGTGGGGCAGGGGCTGGGGTGGGGACCCTGAGTGTGGTCTGGGCAGTGGGGGTGTCCCTGTGCTGGTGTCACAGCCCGGCTGGATCAGTGTCCCGCTGTCCCCTTGCAGGGCGGTGTCTCGGATGAGCTCTCACTCTCGGCTTATGTGACGGCAGCAATGCTGGAACTGGGGCTGCCCACGCTGGTGAGGATGGACCCTTCTTCCCCACAGGGACTGGTGGGGTGGGGATAGCTGCTGGGACAGGGGATTGGCCATTCCAGGCCACCTCGCAGCCCAAACCGGGCACAGTTGGTCACACTGGGCAGCACCGGGGTCTCTGAGTGAGTCCCATGCTCTGGGCTGGCTCCTGACTGCACTACCACGCCAGGAGCCGACAGTGAGCGCAGCCCTGAAGTGCCTGGAGGCTTCTCCCACGGACAACCCCTACACACAAGCCCTGCTCGCCTACGTGTTCGGGCTGGCGGGGCTGCGGGAGCAGCAGCAGGCACAGCTACAGCGCCTGGCCCAGCACAGCATCAGCACAGGTACGGCCCAGGCAGGGGCACCACGGGCAGTGCCTGCTCTGAGAGGGCAGGCATGGCCCAGGCAGGGGCACCACGGGCAGTGCCTGCTCTGAGAGGGCAGGTACGGCCCAGGCAGGGGCACCACGGGCAGTGCCAGCTCTGAGTGGGCAGGCACAGCCCAGGCAGGGGCACCATGGGCAGTGCCAGCTCTGAGAGGGCAGGTACGGCCCAGGCAGGGGCACCACGGGCAGTGCCAGCTCTGAGAGGGCAGGCACGGCCCAGGCAGGGGCACCACGGGCAGTGCCAGCTCTGGGAGACCCCAGCCCAGCCAGCAGCAGGGGCTGAGCTGCTGCCCCTTCTCCCCCAGAGGGGCAGCTCTACTGGCGGAGGAAGGGGCAGGCTCAGAAGGCCTCGGAGCCGTCCTGGGCCGCGGCTGCGCCGGCCGAGGTGGAGATGACGGCCTACGTCCTGCTGGCCTACCTGTCCCAGCCCTCCGTGTCCCCTGCTGAGCTGGGGACAGCGTCCCAGATCGTCCGCTGGCTCTGCAAGCAGCAGAACCCCTACGGGGGCTTTGCCTCCACACAGGTGCTGGCCC